ATATTCACGCAAGAGAACGCTTGCTCGCACGAATATGTTGATCCGAAGATAGTCAGAACTCCAAATGCCAATTTCTCACTGTAGCAATCTGGAAGACTATTCCATGCGTCGAATATAAGTGCCTCAACTCGCGGCATTTCTTTTAAATCTATCCACTGTTGCTGCGTTACGTACATACATTTCTGGACCTCCAACTCTTCCAACTTGCTTTTCGACTCTGTGTATTTATCACTCCACAAAGCTTTACTTTTTAAATCGATCAATTGCATTTTTAGTGATCCAATATCAATTCCAATTGGCTCAATGTGGATTTCGTTACTATTTCTGTTGAGAGGATTTATTATGAATGCTAGAGTGGTTTTGTTAGTTTTAAATTGCTCAAATCTGTCAGCAAATTCATCTTTAATTTTATTTATAACTGTGTTGAAGTAATTCGTGTCAACAGTTGCACTGGTTTTATCGCGATATTGCTTTAGAAATTGAAAATGAAATAATTTACCGCTCTGAATATCTTCTGTAAAAAGAATTAATTTTTCTTTGAAACAAACCAATTGTTCTACCAAAGGCTGGGTTTCCTTTTGCTTGCAGTTTTAGATTCAGCTCATTTAATTTCGCTGTGATATCCACCATAAAGTAAAATGTTTACAACCATTTGTCGTTCTCTAATTCAGAGTGATTAATGTCTCTTTTATTGAGGAATGTATTTATTTCATTCAAGCACAAAGCAAAACGTTTCAACACCCTACCTTTGGAAAGCCATCGCACTTTATTGTGAAGAAGGAGGTCGGAATACTGAGTCTCCATTTCGCTTAAGAATTCTTTAAACTGACGATGGTAGAGTGCTTTTGACAAGATGCTGTTAACAATCTTGATTGCCAAATTCATGACCTCAACTATTTCGGCCGGAAATATTTGGGCACAAATTGCTTCTTGGTGTATTATGTAGTGAAACGTAAGAATTTCGTGGTTTATTTTGCTCTGAAGAATCGTTGTTGCCCCTTTATTTTTTCCTGTCATACTTCTGGCTCCATCAGTTGCTATTGACACGATTTTATTTAAATCTATTTTATTGTCTTCAAGGCCTTTTTGCGAGGCATTCTCTATATCTTCCGCTCTAGTTTGTCCCGAGAGCGGTAGCAAACCCTAGAAGTTCTTTTGGTCCTTGGGAAGACAAATACCTGACAAAAAGGGCAACCTGTGCCGTGTCTTTTATGTCACAAGACTCATCTATAGCAAGTGATAAGGCAGAAGAAAGTTGAATATCTTTCATCTGCAAATACTATGCTACATTTAAAGATATTTTTACTGTACTATCTTGTACTGTTTTAGTGAATAGTGGCAAATCTTTGAGATTTTTTTCAAGATTTCTGGTTTGTTTCTGAAATTACGAAACAGTTCTTCAGATGCAAGTATGTGTGTGTGAAGCAATCTTTGACATACTCACCATCTGTGAATGGTTTGCCTTTTTTTTTTTTTGCAATTTTTAGTGATACCGCAAAGCTTGCCAGATTAACATTACTTGTAGATTGCGTCCAGTTACTTAACATTTAACTTGATTATTGTTTTTACTTTTGGAGCTCGTCGACAACTTTTTTCGTTCATCACCGGCTGGACATTTAATCGCAAACTGAGTATGTTTTGTAGTGAATTGTCTCTCTAAATTTGATTTCTTATTGTGTGCGAGTTTTTCGGGGCAAATGAGACAAGTCGCAAGGCCATCTGAGTTGCATATGAAAACGAACGACTCCGTCCAATCCCGATTGAATTCTCAATGCTTTCTTCAGTTCTCTCTTTTTTTTTTTGTAGATGCCTGCTTTCGGTGAAGCTGTAATAAAGAATTTTTAAAACTATTATTTAGGTATTCAAAACAGCAGATCACAAGCTTTGCGATTATTTGCTATGTCAACGTATACCTACGTAAATACATACGAGAAGCTGTGCATAATGAAATATAATTTATCAAAAAACATTTTACAACGATATTTCCCAATTAAAAATACTTACCAAAAGGGATAAATAATTCTCTAATAATTTAATTATTAAAATAAATAATTTAGACATGAAAAACTGTTTGTCTCACTCTCTCACGTATACTCTAATTGACAATAAGTACATAGTTTCGTCTCATCTGTGGTCGCCTCCCGTGTGCGGTGATCGCCGACTGGCACGAACGGACATGTCAGAACGTGTTTATCACGGCACATTTTAGTTTTTTTTTAAATTTAGGCAAATATTAGATAATTAGTTTACGAGTAAAGGTGTTACGCCCAGTTATGCCGAAATCAATGAAAATTGTCAAACATATAAACAATCTAAAACTGTAAATACCTATTTTGATCCTCAGAGTTCGAAAATAAGTTTATTAAATAACAATCTATAGGTACTTACACTTACATTTATTATTTTAACGCTATTTTTTAAATAATAAAAGCTATAAAATAGATAAATAATAAAATAAGTAATTATGTATAATATGTATTTTAAAACTATATAACACTTATTATGTTACCCACCTTCACTTCGGATTTTTTAATTACACTGCTGGCCACCGTAAATGAAACATCCTCAAGGAAGCACGCAAATAACATGAAATTTACAACATGCATTAGCGGAGGTGAGATATGCAAATGATTACAATTTCAGCGCAGACACACATCTCACGCACGCCTGTGGCGCCACCTCAAAGCGCTATTTAAGGCTTGGAGATTTCAAGTTCGGCAATTATGTTTTTCTTGTGGTTTTTTCAAAAAACGATCAGTTATGTCTCGTAAAAAACAGCGATCAGCTTTTGATCAAGTATCCGAGTTCGACAGAGGAAGGATAGTGACCTACCGAGGATTGTGGATTATCTTTCAGGGAAATCGGTAATCGTGTTGGACGAAACCAAACAACTGTAATGCGGATATGTGACCGTTGGATGCAGGAGGGTACGACGGACCGATGTGGTCGATCGCATCCACCTCAGTGCACCACTTCACGTGAGGACAGGCAAATTGTGCGCATGACAGTGACGGATCGCTCAGTCACATCACGAACCATAGCACAACACATTGAGTCTGTAACGCATCATTCAGTGTCTGCGCGTACCATTCGACGCCGTTTACAGCAGAGTGGTCTGTCCGCAAGACGTCCATTGCTTGGTCTACCCTTCACGCAGAACCACAGACGTCTCCGCCGCCAATGGTGAGATGTAAGAAGGATGTGGGCGGCAGAATGGAATGAAGTTGTCTTTACTGACGAGTCACGCATTTGTCTGCAACACCACGATGGTCGGATTCGAGTCTGGCGACAGCGTGGAGAGAGGATGCTGAACAGCTGCGTTATGCACCACCACACTGGTCCTGCACCGGTTATTATGGTATGGGGTGGTATTGGATATCACTCTCGCACTCCTCTAGTACGCATTGCCGGTACTTTAAGCAGCCAGCGCTACATCTCCTAGGTGTTGGAGCGAGTTGTCCTTCCTTACCTTCAGGGCTTGGCCACAGCCATATTTCAACAGGATAATGCGTGACCACACGTGGCACGCATTATCCAAAGGTTCTTCGTCAATCACCAGATTGAATTGCTTCCCTGGCCGGCTCGCTATCTGGAACTTTCGCCGTTAGAAAACACGTGGTCCATGGTTGCTCAACGATTGATCCAAATTACACCCCCAGCTGCCACACCAGATCAACTTTGGTAACGTGTGGAAAGTGCTTGGTCTGCTGTACCCCAAGTACACAGCCAAAGTCTCTTTCAATCAATGCCGAGTCGTGTGGCAGTGGTCATCTCCAACAATGGCGGCTACTCTGGCTACTGATTCTGGCAGGAACCATACTTTACAGAAGTCTATAAATTTAATCATTTGATACTTGGTCAACTTGTTATCTACAAAATAAATTTTGTTGTGCTATCTCTTGTCTTTCTTGATGTTGCATTTTTACGGTGACCAGCAGTGTATATATGTACATACATACCTTTGAAATGATAATTTACTTCTAACTCTTTTACTTGAAACAACAAACTATACGTCACAGCCAAAGCACTGGTGAAGACGCCAAATTGTCTTGCGTCGAAAGCGAATTAAAAACTACATAGAAACATCCGACGATGGCGTCATTCGAGAGCTTCCGACGGACTGACGACAGTGGAAGGGGTGCGGTGAAAAGCGAGTATAACTGACTGAGAGATAGAAACGGTGCCTAATCCAAGTTTATTAATTCAAAACGATTTTTGAATGTTTTTTTTTTTTGATAAAAGAAATTATTTTTGCGTATGGAACTAAAGAGCCACAGCTTTGCATCTAAAGAGCCGCAGGTTGCCGACCCCTGGCCTAAGGCATTCATATTGGATTTCTTTTCCCACTGTAGCGTTTTAGAAGCGACGCTTTTTCAATTTTCTTGTTGAAGCTTCGAAACCTCGTTTTCTTCGTAAAAACACGACGCGGATGGATTTTTTTTCTGAATTAAAGGTAAGAAAGTAATGATTGTTTTTTGTGTGAATGAAGGATTGATAGAATGGATGCTCGGAAATTGCATTTAATTTCTTTTTTTGATTTTATGTTTCCTGTGTTCTCCATTTTAGAAACCACGTTTCCCCCTCTTGTTTACGTCTCTGACGCCATTTTGAAAAACGCGGTTTTTTACTTGGCGCCATTTGGCGAAAAACTTTTGTCGCCAAATACAGCAATGTGCTGTGCTAGGATTTTACCGAGAAATCTTTTCGTGTTAAGCGGTTTTCGTTTCCTGTTAAGAGAAAAAAATTTTGCATGAAAATACATAGTTTATCGGAATTGTCGTATTATTTCGTGTTAACCGATATTTTGTCTTAAGCGTTTTTGCGTTAAACGTATCCACTGCGATCTACACTCCGCAACAACTTTCTTCTTATAGTCTTTCAACTCTCTTCTTCTCCTTTCTTCTTTCTTCTCAATATTCGTAGATCTAAATTAGGTCACAATCCAGTGAAAAGGCGCAACTTCACATGTGTAATTGTTTATGGTATCTTGCTTTCTGACAGGGGGCGTAGCTCAGATGGTAGAGCGCTCGCTTAGCATGCGAGAGGTACGGGGATCGATGCCCCGCGCCTCCATTTTTTTTTAAAAACATTAAAGTAAAATAGAATTACAGACATTTGACTAATTCCTGCAACAACCATTTTAAAACCTTGACTACCAACCAGTATTTGGGTGCTTGATCAATAAAACAGTATACACAAGCGTTTAGAAAATAATAATAAATTAACTCCCTCCCCCTAATTAATACACAATTTATAATTGTTCATAGTATAAGAAATGTCACAATGTTTTTCAATTACCGATTAAAGTTGTAAGTAAAGTTCAGAGAAGTCTTGTACATGCTGAATATTCCAACTATTAATTAATAGCAGTAGCGTAACGAAGAATGTTTTTTGTTTGTTACTATTTTTATTAATTAATTCTATTTTTATTCTAATAAAATAGTATAGTACAAAAAAAGAACCCATTCTCAGCAATTAGGTCATTCCAGGTGGGTTTCAAAGCCACGAACTTTGGATTAGAAGTCCAACGTGCTGTCCATTGCGCTACAGGGACACAACGAACAATTTTCCTTTCTATATATACTGTTGGACTATTATTTTCATTTGTTACTATTTATTCATTTTTTAATTTAATTAATGAATTTAATGTTTGAAAAAACTGTATTAACATCAAGTATCCTCCACTACAAGTTTTAAGAATGTGTTTGTGAACTTGAATGAATGAATAGAAAGTATTTTATAAATGATTGAAATTTTGAACAAGATTTATATATATATATATATATATATATATATAGGGAGAGTGTGAATTAATAGTACGAAATGAAAAAGGAGAGAGAAGGGTAATTTTATTCTCTATGTTGATAAGCGATATTTTATAATCCTTTACGATTTTTTAGATAAAAAGCAAAAATTTATAAATGAAACTTGGATAGGTTTTCTGATAAATAATTCCGACCTTATGTTGTTATATTCAGATTTAACATACGAGTACACCATTCACTCTCTACACACACGGCGGGTCTTCAGAAGTATAAGGACTCGAATTCAAGACTCCGACGACCACGAGTTCGCTACTCGACGGATACCGCGGCCGAAAGCAAGCGTAGGATCAAATCAGAAAGTGATATATTTTTTAAATATATTTTCTCAACTCTTTTTAAAAGCTTTTATTTAACTTACAATGTATGTATGTATGTATGTATGTATGTATGTATGTATGTATGTATGTATGTATGTATGTATGTATGTATGTATGTAATTTGTTCGGGTGGAATCTTGCAACTCAATTTTGAAGCTGATATCTTCCTCCCATTGAGCTGAAATTTGGTATACATGTTTAGTTTGGATGACAATGCATGTTTTGACCATTTATATTCCGATATTGCAATTAATTAAAAAGATATTAATTAAAAACGTTAAACTAGTTTTGGGCGCCAACTTCGATATATCTGCATTGTTGTAATAATTTTATTGTTACAACAATGACAAAAGTTGGCGTCGAAAATCGGTTTTCAGCCAAACTGGAATTTCATAACGTTGCGCTATTGACAGTATTAATTAACTTTGTCTAAAAAATAATTACATTTCTACAACGTAAAAACAATCTAATTTCTACAACGTATGCAATTTTTTTTACAAATTTCTATCTATTTCCTTGGATTTAAATTCAAAACAAAAAAGTAGAGCTATTTTTCAAGTAGATTGGTACATTGTATGCCTTTCTCAACGCTGCCAAGTTAAACTGAGATGGAGTATTGAAGAAATTCTTTAAATAATTTATCTAACTTTAATCTATGAAACTCAGACGAAAAATAATTACAGAATAGGAAAGATCATTTTTTTAATGTATCTTACCCATCAAAAAGGAATCCGCTAGGAAAACAATAAGAGAAAAATATTATCTAGAAATGCAATATATTTTCGATTAAAAAAAATAATTTTACAATAAAATGAAGTAATTTTTAAAGAAATTTTCTAATTTTAAGCCTACGAGTAATTTAAATATACCTCATTTTATCACCAGTAATCTAAACACACACTACGACATGTGTCCTTAAATTTAATTACAAATAGAATCTGTTAATTTTATTTGAATTTAATTATTGATTTTTTCAAAATCAAGTTTCTAAAGATGATCTGAGCAATTAAAAAAATAGATTCTTACGTAGAAGATATTCAATGTCCAGCAAAAAATTATCATTATTTGATAAAACTTTCTTTTTTGATTACAAAATGCGTTTTGAGTCTTAAGCATTTTATTGATTAATACAAATATTTAAACGCCTTTTGAAGTTTTAATAAACAATTCAAATTTTCTTCTAATATGTTAGAGAAATACATCCCTTATCTTCAAAATATTTCAAATAAATAATATATTCTTTAAGTTTTTCAAAAATAGTCAAAATTTTAATTAAACATTTAATAACTTTGTCATTTATGAAGATAATCTCACTAAACCTTTTTTTTCGTGTGTAGAACAATGTTAGCCAAAATCTGCATGAAGATTGAAAAAATTGCTTAAAATTACGGATTTAAAAAAATTGTGTTTTTAGTCTAATACCCCATTTTGCGAGAATTAAGTCAGCTAAACCAGGGATGGCGAACCAGCGTTCAATGAGTTGAACAGGCTGAGAAACCCGTCCAACGATAACTAAAAAGTAAAAAATAAATTAAATGTAAAAAACTTTTTAAGAACAAGCTTTTATTTAAACGCGCTAAAAAGAATAAAATAAACTTTTCCTTTAAAACTTTTTTTACTATCAACTTATAACGTCATTACACAATTTATATGATATAAAAGCTTGTCGCGAGATTTACCTGTGTAGATAAATTAGTAAAATAAATAACTTGACCCGATTGATTTTAGTTTTTAAAAATTCAAACTAAGTAAATATGAGTACTTAAATCTCGCGACAAGCTTTTATATCATATAAATTGGTATGACGTTATAAGTTGATAGTAAAAAAAGTTTTAAAGGAAAAGTTTATTTTATTCTTTTAGCGCGTTTAAATAAAGCTTGTTCTTAAAAAAGTTTTTTACATTTAATTTATTTTCTTGTTACCGATCTCTTTTCCTTCTGTAAAGAGAATTTACTTTACCATATTTTGCAGTCTCAGTGACCTTCTCTTTTTAAAGATTTCATTTAGGTCAGCGAGTGTGTGCAAAACGACACACCTTTGGTTGTTTATTTTAAACGGGTAAGTGTCAGGGGGCGTAGCTCAGATGGTAGAGCGCTCGCTTAGCATGCGAGAGGTACGGGGATCGATACCCCGCGCCTCCATTTTTTTAAAAAAAATATTTTAATTCCTCATGATTGTTTGAATAAAAACAAATCTACAAAAACATTGGTCGAATGATGTCGCTTGATTAAACGTTTTGACGCTTGAGCGAATGCTTAACTTCAAAACACATTAAGTAAAGCAACGCGAGACCTATTAGCGATGGACTTGAAAATTTTGAGCTGTGGTCTAGTGACGAGGGCGACACCCGAGTTGGTTCACTGCCTCTTCGAACTTCCACACCTTGCCAAAGATAAGCCTCGACGGATTTAAAGTGTATCAGCCCATCTACGCAGTGGATCTTCAGAGGCACTAAGCTGGAACTTATGACATGCCAGCCACGAGTTCTTGATCATGGCCATTTGGCAATCACTGCCTGGTAAAAACGGTTGAATTAAAGTCATTCTCTTGTGTGCTAAATGATAGTTTTGGGCCTCATAATTTAGAGCAGGGGTGACAAACCTTTTTGGGAACAGCGCCACTATCTGATAAAAAAAATTATGCATACCACTTCCAAGTTTTTCAAATATTAAACAAAATAAATAATTTAAAAGGGGAAAACTTATTATAGCTTGTTAAGGGATCTTCAAGCAAATAACACATGTTTTAATGCAAGTCTGTGTAGTGGAAATTTAAAAATAATGTAATAAAAATGACAAAAGGTGTGTGTTGTGTTCTCCTTAGGTTCCATTGTTAATAAACTTTTTATGGGTTCAATCAGTTAAGTTAGGCATTAAAAATAAGAAATTTAAAATATTTAATTCTAAATAATTATTAAACCGTCAGTGAGTGAGTGAGTGAATATTAACGTTGCTCTGTTCAGCTGCACGAGGACTTTTGGCGACGGACCGCGTAATTTTGAACCATGGTCCAGTGATGAGGAAGACACCTGAGCTAGTTCCTCTCTCCTAACTACCACACCACACCACACCAAATTAAACCGTCAGTACTTACT